AACATAAATTTTCTACAATAATGCAGATCATACATAGAGAGATTTTATTATTCGAGACACAAATCCACCTTTTCCTTAATGAGAAGAACTGCTCAAAAGATGTTAGCCTTCTTTCCCGAATGGGCAAGATATCTTGCCTATTCGGGCCATAAAACATTATAAACTGTCGGCTCTCCAGCATCAAGAAGAAAGCACCATGTCACTCAAGGAAAACTCTATCAATACAGTTTTCGAGGTCCTGGTACATGGAGTAAGTGTCCACATGCGCTATACCTTTAATTTATACGTCAATCCGTTGAAAGAAAAACGTCTGGAATCTTGCCAAAAACGGATAAGATACTCCTTGCCCGATCGGACCATATTGCCTGTTCGGGCAATACACCTTGCCCGATCGGGCCAGAAAGTGTGACAACGTACTGACGGTCAGAACCGACTCTATCTCTTAACTGAAGCTTTTATGACATATGGGAACAAGTTGAAGAGCCCGCTTCCTGATTTAGACCGTCATTATTTTACACTGCTGACAGTTGTATACCAGTTTGTTTCTTCTTTCTAACTTTTAAGGTAAAATCCTTCGAAAAATACAAAAATTAAAAATGCGACTCTTCTACGTTGTTACCCTATCTTAGTTCGATATCTTACAACCAAGCTGACCACTCTTACTGCTTTCTGAAAGAAGACATGTGTTGGACGATAGAAGATATTCAAGCAACATCTATGGAATGAAAGCAGGTTGAGCCTTCGAACTTTTATCATAACGATTTCTCGCTGTGGTCAACATTCCCTGAAAGTTTGGTTCAGCTTGGACTTTTGGTTACATAGATAGATCTTTGACGCAAAACGCCATATGAGGAGTATAAAAGGGTTTAATTTATCTCAGGTATAAACACTCGTTTTGAATCAGTTATACCTTTGTGTTTTCGCACATCAGATAATCAGAGAGAATGGCCGCTCATGATCAACACGGTAGGATATATACTACTCTAGTCTTATTATCAGATTCTATAGAAATGTATGTTGGCTCTTTTAGAATTAAAACTTCTCTTTTCCTTATTTGACACGAATCACGATGGTATAATATCCCAAAACGAGATCCAAAACGTGATTGAAGCAACAACAGGAACATCATTTCAACCTGAACAATTGACTGCGTTCATGAAACTTGTCGATACAGACAGTAAGAACAGGAATTATGCATCTCTCTCTTTTATTGACTAAAGCTTTCATAAGTACTATTCCATCGTTCGATTTTTCCAGTGCATCAGATCCGTCACATGCAATTTGATAACCACCAGTCATATAATCACTGTTTCATCATGTTTATAAGTTATTACCCTGTATTTCAGATAGCGGAGACATCACAATTGATGAATTTACGACGCTAATGAACGAACATGTCCAACAAAAGTTTCTCGGTCTACTTGAACTATTTAATAAATTTGGTATGTTATTTTTATTTCTCCATATAGTTCAGATTTGTCGAAATACTTGACTCATATTTTACTTGTTAGATGTTGACAAAAATGGATCTGTTGATAAAGACGAATTTGAACAAATAATAAAAACAGTAGATAATGGAATATCCAACGAACAAATTGATTTATTTACATCATTATTAGATAAAAATGATTCAGGAAATATTTTGTTCATCAAAGACACTAGGTAACACTTCTATTACTCAGTCGACTGAACGCGTTCCATTATTGCATGGACATCGTTTATTACTGATGACAAGCGTAACCTATGAACGTGAGTGATTATGTGTAACTTATTCTTAGACAATTCTACGTTGTCTCTTTCTTTTATTTAGAATTCATGGAAGCAGCAACAGAGTTGTATCAAAAGGCCCAACAATCATTTTCTACTGCATAGAAAACAATCTGAAAATTTATTTCATATACATTTCTAATGTGTGATCTTTTAGTGACAAGTAAAGATTGGATATTTTAAATAAAGAAAGGGAAGATGAATAATTTCCATTTTTTATCATATATAAAAAATGCCTAAACCTATGCCAGTTAACCTGTAAAACTATTTACTTTAAAGTACAGTCATTCCACGTAATGTGTCTGTGCGTTACTTTTTGCTCTTTTTGTTGACCTTATAATATCTGAATGAGAGGGCGTGGAGAGTTGAGATATTTCTATCTTATTTTGTAGCTAAGAGTGTGCTTGTCAAAAACTGCTCGAGACTCATTTCAAAGTATGATCAATTTTCTGCTATAGTGATTTTCCCAACAGCTATAACCCAATTTGAAAACTAGAACATGTTCAAGGAATTCAGTGCGTAGGAAATTCTATGCCTCTTTTACACTTCTCAGCCGGACTACTTATAACTTTCGATGCAGAAGATGAACTTCTTTCAAGATCTGGTATATTATACCGTTAGTGCTATAGTACAAATGTATGATGATAAATTTTAAAAACGTTTCTTTTTCGCAAGGTTTTTAGCGGGTTTTCCAGAGGATCTTTGAAAAGCTAGTTTGGATTTCTGAAAACTGATATAGAAATAGGTCGATTTTTTTCCACAGATAGATAGTCTAGAGTATTCTCTCCAAAACAAAAACCAAGCGAACTCTTAGTTTTTCCTGGTTTAGGTGCGGCATTGGGTTTTCTGAGAGTCCCAGGATCACTATTTTCTAAGATGCGGTAACTCCGACAACGAATGGAAACATAGGTAATCGACTATGTTGAACCTCGTGGAAACATTTGTTTTTCATAGAGGATTCAAAAACCTAGTAAAAGCCCATATTAGGTGAAATAAGCCATATTTGCCTATTTCTTAGTAAAATTAAAAATTCATAACTCAGTCAAAATTCATCCAGATTATGTCAGAATATCAAGATATACTCTATTTTACCTGCTCGACATGATGTAGTCCAACAAAAGCTTAAAAAGCAACAGAAAATACTTCTGCATTTCAAAAACTTTTTTAGAAATTTTCTAAAGTACAAGAACGTTTTCTGCTATTCTCAAGTAAAAGAACATATAGAGCAGGCAAAATAGAGTATATCTTGATATTCTGACATAATCTGGATGAATTTTGACTGAGTTATGAATTTTTAATTTTACTAAGAAATAGGCAAATATGGCTTATTTCACCTAATATGGGCTTTTACTAGGTTTTTGGATATTCTTTGCAAAACAAATGTTTCCACGAGGTTCAACATAGTCGACCACCATCGTGTAGTGGGTGAAAAGCGATTCAGTTGTTAACTTTATTGTACATTACAAATAGCTGGTTGAATTCAACACAATATCATAGAAAGACATTATAAGAGACGAAATGAAAAGAGAGGAATTGAGAAATGAATGAAGATCAGATCGGGACCTACTACACGATGTTGTGTTGAATTCTAATTTAACTAAGTATACGCACTCCACACGAGTATCTTTTAGAAACTGGTCTGATATAGTATTCATTAGTACTCGGATCTCATTGTCACGTAATTAATTGATATAACTAGAGTATCGAATTTGTAATTTAATATTAATGTATGACACAAACGATCAGTTCTAAAGACGCTAGCAGTTTTCAACTAAGGATGTTCATATTGAAAAAATGCACAACTGATAACTACGTGAAAAACAGCAAGTAGAAACGCATATTTTTAAGTAGTTAATACAACATAAATACGAAGCATGCAGCTCCCTCCTTGCATGCCCAAGATAGACGAATACCTCTTTCTGGCCTGATAAACGACAATTAAAAATTGATTTCTTCCTACGTGTTTCGGCATCTATCGATCGATGAGGAACATAGTATACCTTCATCAATTTGAAGAAGAATAGGAGTGAGAGTTATGTGAGAAAAACAACTAGAAAATCATCCATTGTATCTTTAAACATACTGTTTTTACGAATGAGTCACGCTGAATCTCGTGTGGTAATGTTGGTTTTCAGAACAAAATGCAAGAACGAAGTGAAAACCTGTACTAAATGAAATAACCCCTAAATAAAACTCCAGCGATCTTAAAAGAACTCCGTATAAGTGTCATTATGGACTATCCATCTGAAAAGCAAACATACAGTTTTGTAGCACTTGAAATGCTAATTCAAATGATGTATTGTTCAATATATTTGCAAACAGAAAAGTAAATCAGCAAACTGTTCATAAGTGGCGTTAATCAGGATTAATTAAGTGTTAATCTATATCCTAGTATGGCTTTTTCTGAAATATCTTCGATGCGACCATAACTAAAAAGGATTCTCGACCGAAGTACACTAAAATGACGCTTGTATAATCAGTTTTGATTAAATAGTTAAGCTTTAAAAACAGGCCCAGCAATTAAATCGTTTACTAAAATTTTATCTTAATTGATTTATAACTGCGTGAATACTTATTGGTTTCCTGAAAACAGTTAGGATATATGCTGTCAAGTATTCTTTACAATCTGAGTAGATTTAACACTATCGCCTTCCTTAACCCTTTAGCGACGTTTTTTTTGTAAACATGCAAAAATTTTGAGTCTTTTCATAAAAGTGTGAAATAGGGCGTATACGTCAAGGAGAAACACAAGATTCCATGAAGGATCATAGAACTCCATAAGATTCTGTGATTGCACAGTCGTGTAGAATGGCGCAGAATCTTATGGAATCCTACGAATGGTTCCATGGAGAACTTTGGAATCCCATATCATAATATAGATCTAATAAAATCTGACGTCTGATTGTCTGTGATATTAGAGCTTTAGCAATAGCCGCAGCTCTATCGGGCTACAATGGTTTACGGAATTCTATGCGATTTTACAGAATTCTGTTTGGTTTTATGGGACACTAAAAGATTTTAGGCGTAGAGATTTCATAGATTCTCATACGCTTCCAAATCTAAAATTCCTTGTTTCTCCCTTGATATACATGCATAATAGTACCACACAATGTTGCTGTGGTACTAGCAACATAAGGGAAAGTGAGAATACTCTTATAACCTAGTGAAAATAGAAGATCATACAAGTTATAATCTGTGCAAAAGCTCAGAACGTATATATGTCTTTCCCATCGCCAAAGGGTTAAAGTCATTTTGTAGAGATCAACTATTTTGCTTATAGAATAAAAGTACTGGAATGTATTCGAAACTAAGTATAAGGAGTATCATTCCGATTAATCAGAATCAGAAGTTATTTCTTAATACACCTGTATTGTATAGTTTATTTGTAGTTTGATCACTTATACAGCATAACAAAGTTATTTATCTTAGAACGTCATTAAATTCCTATTAAACTGAATACATTAACAGGTACGATAATACATTCATATAAACTTACAAAAGAAATCGAGGAGATTAGATACTGCTCATTAAACAGTAAAAAACAACGATAGACGATTATAAGAGCAGGAAAAATATCCGTAGAAATTAATAATGGATTACTAGTTTATTCTTTTTTGATTGCAGTCTAAACATTAAAAAATTATTCTCCATCTATATCTGCCATGAATGATCATAGATATTCTTATCAATATTTATCACATATTCATTCTTCATAGTTAATCATCCAGCTGTCAGATTGACAATTCCCGGATATATTGCATCATTAACCGAGAATATGTTTAATAATAAATTTCCAAATGATAAAGTTAACGTATATGATGATCTTTCATTTGACACTGGAATGACCGTTAATGATCCTAATGTATTCGGAATGAGAACAGGAATGACAAATGGTAATTGTAAATTGGGTGAAAATTTTAATATACCGTTGGGTAAATCGGTATATTGTCCTGATAATGTAAATGGTAAATGCCACAATACCATATGAAAACCATAATGAGATGTAACGCAAGGTTTACCACCAATACCATAACCATCGCTTGCATACAATCCATGTATATTCCATTGATCTTTTAAAGTTTGTCTTATATGATTTAAACCTTTTTCAGATTGTATTAAGGCTTTATTTGAATCCGTATCAAGCCATAAATTTAATACTGACCAATCTTGTGATGCACCCATCCATATAGAATTATCTTGTGGATTTGTTAATGGTTCACGTCCTGTTAACATTCGTAATCCATAAGGGGTATCTGCTAATCTTACTTCACTGTCTAAATGTTGTTCCATTTTTTCTATATCAAACAATAAACCTACTCCATATGTAAATGCTAATACTTGACCATATAATGCATCTGTAAATATAGCTTTTTCGCCTTGACCACCTGAATAAGCTAAAAAATAACCTGTATCTTCTCTACTATCCTCATACCATAATAATCTGCTTATTTGTTTTACAGCAACAATGTATGATTCATAACATTTATTATATGTTACTGTATCTTTCATAATATCTGTTAATTGCATACATGCACCCATTGCAGCTAAATGCATAAATGAATTAAATGTTGTTGTTGGATATTGATCTAAACCTGGTATATCATAAGTACATACTAAATATTCCGGTAATCCTAAATTAGATGAT